GAAATCATCAAGTCGAAGGTATACCTGTTCCCCAATGTTCATTGCAGCGCTCTTTACAATATAGCCAAGAGTTGGAACCAGCCCAAATGTCCGTCATTGGATGAGTGGATACGGAAAATGTGGTATATCTACACAATGGAATACTACTCAGCTATAAAAACGAATGAAATACTGCCATTTGCAACAACATGGATGGACCTTGAGAGAATAATATTAAGTGAAACGAGTCAGGCAGAGAAAAAGAAATACCACATGTTCTCACTTATTGGTGGGAGCTAAAAATAAATAAATTAATTCACTCAAAAAATAACTGGGGGTGGGGGGGGAGAAGATATAACAACTACAATCCTTTGAAGTTGTTACAACAAGCAAACGAAAATAACTGGGGGTGGGGGGGGGAGAAGATATAACAACTACAATCCTTTGAAGTTGTTACAACAAGCAAACGGAAAGGACATTGTTGGGTGGGAAGGGGGAGAGGGAGGAGGGAGGGGGGTTTCAGTGATGGGCCATAATAATCAACCACATTGTATATCGACAAAACAAACAAAAAAATTAAAGTTAAAAAAAATTAAAAGTAATTAAACAAAAGAAATGAAATAAATAAATAAAACCTAGTTTACACATGATATGCCCAGATCTCGGATTCTAATATTCTCCAGGATGAACAAAAAAAACCCCAGCTCCTTGGAGAAATGGTCAATTCTAGGGCTGGAGCAGGGAATATGCTGGATGAGCCTGGAGCATCTTGTAGCACCAGGAGGTGAGAAAGTGCTCATAGCCCCACACAGTGACAGGTGCATAGGTTGCAGGGAGTTAGGAGCCATCGAAAGAGCTCCCAGTGGCCAAGGTTGGGAGCATTTGAGCAACCAAATAAATAATGTGGCATTGGAATATGTGCCAAAGTGTAAAATATATGTCCATGAATCCATACTGCTATAAATAAATGGTTGAATAAACAAATAATGGTAGAATAGACAAGTCTTTTGTGCAGAAGAATTCCAAAGTTTATGCAGCTCCTCTGCCCTCAGGGAGGTGGAGCGTCGCTCCCCCCCCCCAAGTGTGGGCTGTGCAGAGTGACTTCCCTCCAAAGAGCACAGTGCGTGTGGTTGCGGGGGGGGGGCGGGGGGGTGTGACTAGAGTAACTCTGCAGTAGAAGAATCAGACAAACACTACCCCAACCAGGTAACCAAGGTCAATATCAGCAGTGACAAGTCAGGTGGATAGTACATACCCTTGATAAGAAGTGATAAGAAGGACATTTCACCTCTGTGTTCTTCTTCCTCATAACCCAGTCTCATCATGAGAAAAATATCAGACAAATTCAAATTGAGGGACATGCTACAATACACCTGAATGGTACTCTTTAAAACTTTCTTTCAAGGCCATCAAAAATAAGGGAAGTGTGGGGCCGAGCCCGTGGTGCACTCGGGAGAGTGCAGCGCTGGGAGTACAGCAGCGCTCCCGCTGCGGGTTCGGATCCTATATAGGGATGACCGGTGTGCTCACTGGCTGAGCGCAGTGCGGCTGGTCTCAAAAAAGGACAAAAAAAAAAAAAAAAAATAAGGGAAGTGTGAGAAACTGTCACAGCCCAGAGGAGCCTAAGGAGACATGACAACCAAATGTAATATGGTCTCCTGGATGGGATCCTGGAACAGAAAAAGGACACTGGGGAAAAATGAATGAAGTCTAAATAAAGTATGGACTTCAGTGAATAAAAATGTCTTGGTTCATCAACTGTGACAAATGTACCCTAGTAATGCAAAATGTTAATAAAAGGGGAGTTCTGAGGAAAAAATAAATAAATTCTTGTATGTTGATAAGTTTGTCTGCGTCCTTTATACTTGATAGTCAGTTCTGCAGAATATAAAATCTTAGGCTCACATTTCTTTTCCTTCAATATCTCAAATATGTTAGTTACTTCATTTTTTTCTGGCATAAAGTTTTGCTGTCAAAAGTGATGATGATAAAATTTTCTTTCTGCTATAATCACTTGCTGTTTTTGCATAGATGCACAAATTTCTAATTTTATTAGAAATGTGTTTTAATATTGGTCTGTCTGGGTTAATATCTTCGGGTATATAGGGTGTTTTTTCACTATGTAGTTTCAGATCTTTTATTTGTTTTCAGGAAAGTTTTCCTTTCAAAAAGATTCTGTTATTGTGGAAAGATAGAAATAAAGTAAAATTTACCATTTTAACCATTTTTTAGTGTAAAATTCTGTAACATTAAATATATTAAAAATACTGTACAACCATTGCTTTTGTTCATTTCCAGAACTTTATCATCATTCCAAACAAAAACTTTACACATTAGTAATCAATAATTACCCATTTCTCCCGTCCACTAGCCCTTGGTAACTTCTATTCTACTTTCTGTTTCTGTGAATATACCTGTATTAGGTACTTCACATATGTGGAATCATATAGTATTAGTCTTTTTGTGTCTGGCATGTGTTTTCAGCGTTCACTCGGCATGTGTTTTCAGTGTTCATGTCGTAGCATGTATCATAATTTTATTCCCATTTAAAGCTAAATATTCTTTACATATATAGACATACACACATACACCACATTTTGTTTACTCATTCATCTGTTCATGGGTGCTTGGGTGGTTTCCACCTCTTGGCTATTGGTTATAACACCAACTGAGCTAACTGGCCAGCCCTCATATCTTCTAACAGTTTCTTAATGTCTTTTAGCATGCTTTAAAAATAGTAAGTTAAAATTTTTATCTGTCTTCTGGCCCACTTTCATTGTCTGCAAGGATGTGATTCTGCTCCTTGTTTTCTCCCTTTTGTTTATAGTTACTTTGTATGAGATTTGTCCTCAATACTTTGCTATTCATTTTTATGTGAATTTAGTTTGCCTAAATTTTTATTTGGAGGTTTGCTTCAGATAGCTTTTCTAACTTTACGGAGCTCTATTCTACGTTCTGTTTTCTAGTTCTGTCAAAAAAAATACAGTGGCTCACTTTCTGTTCTGTTTTGGTTTTTATTTCCCCCTGTGCTGGCCAGCACGGGGATCCGAACTTATGACCTTGGGGTTATAAGGCTGTGCTATAAACAACTGTGGCTTGCTTTCTGAGATTTCCTATCTCTTTTGTCCTTTATCACTTTTTATCTGGGCCTTCTATGTCTCTGTTCCTATCCTGCTCAATATTGTTTCTGCGTCCAGCAGTTTTTCTTCAGTGTGGTGCCCTGTGCTGCAAGGAAGCCCTGATAAATAGGCTTTGCAAGTTGATAGAGCTAGAATGTTCTAGGCCCCTTCAGATCTTAACATGGACCTTCTGCATTCACTCTCGTTTGGGGTAAAACTGCCTGTTTTCAGCTGCTGTTCTTAAATTGACTTGCTACATTTGCCAGTGAATACTTATGGGCTGTTTTGTGGTTTTCGTGTTCTCAGGTACATCTGACAACCCCACTACTTCTCCCATTGCTTTCTTCTGTTCCTCCTGCCACCAGACACAAGTGACACATGGCTTTTTTTTTTTTTTTTTTTTTTGTCTTTTTTACTGACCGGTAACAGGATCGCAACCCTCGGTGTTGCGCCCGTACCGGGGACCGGCAATGGGATCGCAACCCTTGGTGTTGCACCCGCACCGTGCTCAGCCAGTGAGCGGGAACTGGTCTCCATATGGGATCTGAACCCTCGGCGGGAGCGCCACCGCACTCCCAAGCGGCGCACTCTTCAGTGTGCCACCGGGCCGGCCCGACACATGGCTTTTTCCCACCCACTTGTATATTGATTTGTGGTGGGGATACCTTGTCATTTAGTTTTTTTGTGAATGTCTTTGGGTTTTTGGTTTTGATACCTGTATTGCTTTGTCTTTTATTATTTATTTATTTATTTTATAATGACTGGTAAGAGGATCTTAACCCTTGACTTGGTGTTGTCAGCACCACGCTCTCCAAAGTGAGCCAACTGGCCAACCCTATATAGGGATCCACACCCGCGGCCTTGGTGTTATCAGCACCACACTCTCCCAAGTGAGCCATGGGCCTGCCCTGCTTTGTCTTTTATTAATGCGGCGATTCAGGAAGATCCAAAAACTATGCTACCACCTCTGTTTTCCCAGAATCCCCTAGTTTATATAATTTTGATATAGGTAATTTTTTCCCCTCTTTATAAGGCAGTTTCTTATACTGGGAAATCCAAAAGAAAGAGACTTAGCCATGAAGGCTACTGCCCTTAATAAATTTCAACTTTTCTCCCTTCTCAATCTGTATGGTTGGTGTAATCACCATAAAGAATCATGGCAATTTTACCATTTTTCTTTATCTGATGTACATTTGATATACATACGTATTATACGTGGAGGTTTAACCATGACTTAAAATTTCAAATATCTAGGAAGAAGAAAGAAAACGTCAAGAGGAAATGGAACGCCAGCGCCGGGAAAGAAGATATATTTTGCCTGATGAACCAGCGATTGTTGTACATCCAAATTGGGCAGCAAAAAGCGGCAAGTTTGATTGTAGCATCATGTCTTTGAGTGTCCTTTTGGACTACAGATTAGAGGATAATAAAGAACATTCATTTGAGGTAATATTTTAAGTTTGAATTAGGATCCAGATAAGCATACTGTGACTGATTAATGTATATCTCTTAAATCTCTTTGAGTACCTTTTTCATTGCTTCTGTTTTTGTTGGTCTCCTGCTCCTGTCTCCTCCCCCCCCCCCCCCCCCCCCC